GACAACCTTCCGGGGCCGCAAAGCGCAGCCCTATGCGCCCTCTTACACGAGTATCTTTCCTTCCATGCACCACCAACTTCGCCGACGGTAGACGAAGTCGCGGTGGGGGACATGCTTGGCTACGTTGCCAAGGTGGCCCGCGAGTTTGTCTCGCAACGGTACGAAGAAAACAACGCATCGTTGCTCTACGTTTGCATTCAGATTGGGCAAGCGGCCTGCAATGCCTTGCTAGATTGCGGCACAACTCGCAACTTCATCAGCCAGTCCTTCATGTTGGGCGGCGCCAAGTACTTTTCGAAGTTGGACCTCAAGTCGGGCTACCATCAGATTTCCATCCGCCCGCAAGATCAGTACAAAATCGCGTTTAAGACGCGATATGGGCATTTTGAGTGGATAGTTATGCCTTTTGGCCTCACCAATGCCCCGGCCACCTTTCAGGCGGCCATGACCACCGAGTTTCGCGCTATGTTGGACCGCTTCGTCTTGGTCTACTTAGACGACATCCTCGTCTATAGCCGAACTCTCGAGGAGCATCTCGAGCACCTTCGTCGTGTTCTAGAGACTCTTCGGTCAGCCCGGTACAAAGCTAACCGCGACAAATGTGAGTTTGTACGGCAAGAGCTTGAATACTTGGACCATTTGTCTCTCCGGAAAGCATTTGTCCGTTGGCAGATAAGATTCAAGCCATCCAGAAGTGGCCCGAGCCGAAGAACGTGACGAACGTCCGATCCTTCCTCGGCTTGACCGTTTATTATCAGCGCTTCATCAAGGGTTACTCGAAGATCGCGGCCAACCTAAGCAAGTTACAAAGCGAGGAGCGGCCTTTTGACTTCGATGACGACGCGCGCCATTCTTTTGAGACACTCAAAGCGACACTTTTGTCCGCCGAGGTGTTACATATTTACAACCCGCTTCTAGCTACGCGCGTCACTACCGATGCGTCGGGCTATGGCATTGGGGCCATCCTTGAGCAGCACGATGGCACGGACTGGCACCCGGTCGAGTACTTTAGCAAGAGAGTACCTCCCGTGCATTCGATCGACGACGCACGGAAGAAGGAGCTTCTTGCCTTCGTCCACGCCCTYAAGCRTTGGCGACATTTCCTCCTTGGTCGGAAAGCATTCCGATGGGTAACGGATAACAATCCATTGGTATTCTACAAGTCGCAAGACATGATTAACAGTACCATTGCCCGTTGGATGRCTTTCATCGACCAGTTTGACTTTTTCCCCGATCACATTCCCGGGAAGTCAAACCGTTTTGCGGACGCCCTCTCACGGCGACCGGATCTTTGCACCGCAGTCTACTCTACCTTCGAGATCGACGACGACTTGCGGGAGAGCTTCATCCGCG